GGGAGCATTGGGGTGCAGAGACCCCCCTGCAGCCCATGGGGGAGCATTGGGGTGCAGAGACCCCCCTGCAGCCCATGGGGGAGCCCATGCTGGAGCAGGTGGATGCAGGAAGGAGGATGTGACTGAATGATCAACTCCCAGTCCACCCTGACATTATTCAGGAGCTCCTGCTCCAACTGGATCTTTACAAATCTATGGGACCTGATGGGAAATTATTTCAGCATCCAGCACTCAGCTTTCACTCCAGAATAAAGCTGTTCAGCCTGGTGAACACAGACCTTCCTCTCCTCCCAAGTACAGCAACCACAGCATTTCTTTGGATGAAAGGAATAAACAGCATTTAAGTGTCACTGTAACAATTCTATATCCTTTCTTATTGGCTACTGGTGTATTTTGTGCATTTTCAATTTTACAACATTGTTCAGCATTGCTGCCTGCAGGAAACCTCCACTTAGATTCCCAAGTCTTTCCCCTGTGCTCACTCACTGCCTTACTCCTCCTTGTTACCTCTATTTAGATGTGCAAAAATCAGTTGCTGCTGAGGGAATCCTATCTAAAGGGTTCCCACTCAAAACACTGCATTCATTTCTGTCCCTGCATGAAGAAATCCGAGAGGAAAATAGCAAGCTGATTACAGATCCTTGCAAAATCATATCTGAGGACATTTCTTTATAAAATCACAAATATTAACAGAATACCAGTAGAGAAAACCAGCAATGTTAGGAAACAAGCTTCAAACACTCAGACTAGAACAGCTCAGGCAATAAATTTAATTGTAATGAACCCTCTCTTTCTGACATGTGCACAATGCCACTGAATTTTCACAAATAGGGAAATAGGGACCCCTGGCAGCAGTGGCTTCACACAGAGCAATGACACAACAGGGCAGGGCAAGTGGCTGCTAAATTTATAGCTTCCACATTGCAACTAAGGATTTATTTTAATTCTACTGTAGCCACTATTAATGAAGTGCAAGATTTAAGTCATTAAAAATAAAAATAAATACATAAATACATAAAAAGACAAAAAACCACAAAACTCCACTATACCAAAAAGATAAACCACATTTTTCTTTACTGTCAGAAGGCTTCTGAAAAAAAAAAAATCAAACCATTCTGCAAGTTCTGAGGTACAAAAGAAATATGGACTTGGGTTTCTGCACCAAACCATAGCAGGATTTATCCAGTTGGCCATTCAGAATAGGAACAAACAAGCAAGTCCATATTTTCCAAGGTATTTTACAGCTCATCCTCTTTTTTTTTTTGTTATGGCAGAACACACAAAAACATTCTTGTTTAGGAAGAAAATTGCTTTGAATTATTTAAATTTTGAGGTCCATTTAAAAATGAATTTTATTAAAGTCAGATACTCCCAGGCAGGAAGGTAAGACATAAAGAAAACAGAATCTACTTTATCATAATGTACCACTTCATTTTGCTGCAGTATTTGTAGAAAAAAACACATTGAAGTGCCCTTCCAGCTGACTTTAAACCTAATTCTGGACAACACCAGCCTGAGACATAATGAAAGCTGTTACCAATTCTGAGTTTGGTTTTCAGAGCGATCGACCATCAAAATCTGTGTTTAACTTCAGCAGAATTGTGCTCAGAAGCTGTGAAAACTGGGCCTGAAATGACATGTTTGGACCTGAGTCACATCCCTTTCAGTGCCACCCACCAGTACCATCCCGATAGCTGTTCCCCCAGGAAAATCCCGCTTGGAATCACTTGAAGGTAAAAGCCCAGCCCGGTGTCAGCCCCTGCCAAGCTGCACACAAACACCGGGAGGGGGAGGAAGGGCTGGTTTGGCAGTTTCTAATTGACCCCACTGGAATTGGGCCTGGAGCCACCAAAGCATTCCCGAGCAGCATTTCTGGAGCACAAACAGTGCCCAGTGTGCACCAGCGATGTTTGTGGGGACCCCCAGGGCTGTGGGGACCCCCAGGGCTGTGGGGACAGGGCTGGCAGTGCAGGTGTGGGGCCAGCAGGCAGTTGGGCCTCCCCAACCGCCCCAGACGCGGCGTTTGAACCCGGCAACTGCCAGAACGGCTGATGGAGACCCAGCAGGTGAGGGGGAAAGGTGCAGCTCTCCCTGTGCCAGGCCCAGAGCGGGGACAAACGGGCCTGGGCTGTCCCGTGGGGAATGGTTCCCTTTGGGAACAACAGTCTGCTGTTCCAGAGCTGGCAGCAGCTTTGGTGCTGGCCATGGGGACAGGCCTGGGAGGGATGGAGGGCTCCTCCCTGAGGACACCCACACCTCCTCCTCTGTCACTGCCACACTGGAGGCACTGGGCACTGATGAGAGAGCAGCTTTCCATCCCATTCCCTTCACCCCAATTTACAGCCCAGCCTCAGCAACTGCCAGAGACCTCAGTGGGTTTCTTCCAGTCATCTCCCAGATGATTCTCGGTAGCCCAGACAAGGCCACAGGAATGATCAGAAGATGCTCTTCTGATGCACTTCTGCTGTGGGGAAGGCTGAGAGAGTTGGGACTGCTCTGCCCGAAGAAGGCTCCAGGGAGACCTTAGAGCCCCTTCCAGCATCTGAAGAGGCACAGGGGGAGCTGGAGAAGGACTTGGGACAAGGACTTGCAGGGACAGGACGAGGGGGAATGGCTTCAAACTGACAGAGGGCAGGCATAGATTGGATATGGGGAAGAAATTCTTCCCTGTGAGGGTGGTGAGGCCCTGGCACAGGTTGCCCAGAGCAGCTGTGGCTGCCCCATCTCTGGAAGTGTTCGAGGCCAGGCTGAATGGGGCTCTGAACAACTTCCTTTCTGGTGTTCTATACTAGCAAGACACCTTCCAGCAGGTTCTGTTTGTTCTATTTTTAAACTACTGGACTGAAAGTATTCTCAAGGAGTGAAGGAAGAGCTGAGCTGGAATTCCTGAGGTGGGGCAAGGGGGAAAGCGTTTAGGACCGACTGCCTCAGGGACAGCCATGCAATCTGAGTGTATTCATATTTGTGCTCTTCCAGGTGTCTCAGGGGCTTGGACTGAGCGAGTGGTTCCCTTCCCACATGTTTCCTCAAGAGGGATCTTCCTCAAGAGCCCCTGAGGTGAGTACAGCTGTGCTGAATGGCTTAGGACCGTTTTTAAATGGGGTTTAGGGGGGAAGAGAACTGCAGGAACCCTGAAAGGCTGAAGCTGCTCTGCCATGGATTTCCTGTCTGTCCCTGGGTGGGATTCATTTCTGTGGGTTTGATTTCTGTGTTGCCATTTTACCCCAAAGGAGACTCCTTTCCTCTGCTCGGTCGGCTTAATGTCTTTGACAGGGAACATGTACAACTAAAACAGGAACCTGATTTCAGATGGCTCTGTATAACTTTATTGCAATCACACTAATAAATGCACCAAGCACAAGCAATGTGCTTAGTGTACAAATAGATTTAATACATATAAGTGGATTTTGCAGTTGGTTCTCCATGAATGAACACCATTCTCATTCGGATCAGAAGAGGTATTTCAGATGGTGCTTTGGAACAGGACAGAATACCTGTCCTCCTCACACCAGGCTGAAGTAAAGAAGGAGCATTAGATCTCCATTTCATGACTGTGAAAAGACTTTTTTGCAGTTATTTGGATTTTATTTCTTCCTATTTCCTTTTTTTTCATTTAATTTAATTTAACATGTTCCAAATCTATTTATCCAAATACATTCAGTAAAATTAAAAGAATGGAAGGCAACTAATTTTACCATATTCCCCCTTAATGTCATCTTGTTTGGTGCTAAAATCCACGGCAAAGTATTTTAAATGCAAAGCATTTTCAGAAATCACTTTTTGAAACAAACCAGAGCTCTCCTGGGACATTTTGCAAAGGCAAGCAGTGACAAGGACAAGGGGGAGTGGCTTTCAGCTGAAAGAGATTTAGGTTGCATATTGGGAAGAAATTCCTCCTTGTGAGGGTGGTGAGGCTCTGGCACAGGTTGCTCAGAGCAGCTTTGTCTGCCCCAGCCCTGGAAGTGTTCAAGGACAGTTAGACAGGGCTTGGAGCAACCTGGGCCAGTTGAAGGTGTCCCTGCCCATGGCAGGGGGTTGAAACGAGATGATCTTTGAGGTCCCTTCCAACCCAAACCATTCTTTGATTCTATAAAATTGCTTCAAACCCCACAGTTGTCTCCTCACCTCCCTCTCTGGCAGGCGTGGCAGGAGGCAGAGGAACACAAAGAACAACCCAGGGCTGGCACAGACAGAGGAAACCGTAAAACGAGAGGAGACAGCCACGAAAATCTGACTGGGACAAAAGCAGAAGCACAACTGGAGCCTGGTGCGGGGATATTCCCGAGCCCTCCACTTCACATCCCTCCGTACAAACTCAGGGAAATAGAAGCTGAGCTGGTCTGCGCCGACGAGGCAGACACCGAGTTGGGCGAGTTGGCGTTGCCTGGAGTGACCCCACCAGCACATGGGGCTCCGGCCGAATCCCCCGAGGGCAGCCCCTGGCACTGCGTGGACGCGCGGCTGCAGCTGCCCCTGCAGGAGGGCAGCGCTCGGTACAGGCAGGAGCAGTTCGCGGCAGCGGCAGCCAAATTCTCCACGGCACTGGAGGTACTGGGACGGGGAGGGTCGGTTGGGAACCCTGAGATGCAATTTCGTGTGAAACCTGAAAATTAAGAGCTATTAAAAAAAAAAAAAAAAAGGAAAAAAAAAACCAAAACAAAAAAAAAAAAAAAAACCAAAAGGAAAACAAACAAACAAACAAAAGCCACAAAAACCCCAAAACAAACAAAAAAAAAACAAAAAAAACCCAAAAAACCCACAAACACAAACACAAACAAACAAACAAAACCACAAAACCAAAACAAACAAACAAACAACAACCAAAAAAACAAAACAAAAGAAGGAAGGTGGGGGCTCAATTTAAACCAAAGAATCTCAGGTGCTTTTGTGTTTTTCTCCAAGTCCTTGACTGTGTTTTTGTGTGGAAGAAATTGAAGTCACATAAAGGGAAAAAACTTCTCCCCTCTTTAATCCCAGCTCTATCAGCAACAAATGACCTCTCAATAGTCAGGGGAGTTCCCACCCTTCCCCAGCTGTCCCTGCACTACCTGGGTCAAATGTTTAATATTTTGCTTGAACAACAGGTCCCTTTGAGTCCCTTTTTTTCCCTTTATGGCATTTCCATCATGTCCCCTGTTTCTTCCTTTTCCTCTGAAGACAGAGGATGCCACCAGAGCTAGGCAGGAATCCTTTTCTTTCTGCATGAGACAGGACAGGTCCCATAGGGATCAGCCCCTCAGAACTTTGGGAGTGTTCTCTTCAGCAGCTCAGAGTCCACACACTGAGTTTTGTGGGAACGCTTCCTGAGGTACTAAGGAAGTACAATGTACTCACATCTGAGCTGTCTGAAGTGGACATGTTCTTCCAGCAGTAGTTATTTCTATGATTTCCAGTTTCAGGATGAACCCCTCAAAATCTACAGACCTTGGACATTTTTAAAAATCTCGGCCAGCCTTGAGTTTTATCAGTGTAAGATGAGAAAAGAGGGATGTCCTCTGGCAAGGTTGCAACGAACTTTACAGGGGAGAGAGGAGAGAAAGAAGGTGTAGGAGAGCCCAGCAGGTGGGTCTGCCTTCCATCCACCAGCGTCTCCCAGAGAACAGCTCTCTCATAAACCATGAAAGATGCCACACAACTAACCTGGCTGCTGACACTCACCATGCAGACAAGGGCTTCCCTTTTTCCATGAGACAGGATGCCAAAAGCACTCCTGGGAGCACTCAAATCAAAGAGAAAAGTTAAAACGAGAGCCATCTTCTGCTTTACAGGAACATGGTTGGTGATGAGAATAGAGGACTTGCAAGCTGGACTCTTCACTGCCTCTAAAAATTCCTCTCCACTCTGGCCCCAGTCCCTTCAGCTGGGTACCTGACATCCTGAAAACGGAGCCAGCTACACTTGTTTTAGTGCTGTTCTGCCAAACCTTATTCAAAAGCATTTGTAAAAGCTCAGAGCTTTCCAGTTCACAAGCAAATATCCTGTTCCTTCTTCTTTTTACTACAATACTGAAGCCGTTTGTTTAAGCAAGAAATATTATAGCAGTAAAATTAGCAAGTGTCATCCTTTTCAGGTGCTTTTTTGCTCCCTGTATTCAGGAAGGAGCTGTGGAGGGGGCAGAGCCACTGGCTGCTTAAGAAGAAAGGAGGACTTGCCCCATCCTAAGAGGAAATGGAAAGGCTGGCAAATAGACATACTGGGGAAAGAGTAACTAGAGATTAAGGAATTCTTTCCTGGGATTGTGGACAGAGTGACTGGGACATCCCAGAATTGTAGGGCTGGGGCTTCTCAGCAGTCTCTTAATCCAGCTCTCCTCAGAAGCAAAAGCCAGAACATCCCTGAAAGACAATTCTGTACCCTGTGCTGATTTTTGTAATGTTGACTTTAGTTAAACCAGAGTCTATTGTACTTCACTTTTCTCTGCTGATCTGTCACAAAAAGCCTTTCCACCTAGCAAATGGTGTGTTATAACATTTGTAAATACTGCTTTTATTTCACATGCAGCTTTGCAGTAGAGGCTTTGCTACAGAGGATCCCTTGAAGTCCTCTCCAGATGATATTTCCAGAGTTGCCAGTTTTATTGAGTCAAAACTTGTCATCTGTTACTTAAAACTGGGGCAGCCTGACATTGCCCTGAGTCACTCACACAGGTAAGAAAAAGTATTGATTAGATTCACTACTAGGACTGAAATCCAAAATTGAACAAAGACTAGAAGTAAGTGCTGTGCAGGAAGAACCAGTCTAATAATGAGAGAAGAGGAATCAGTAAAATACACCTGACACGTTGCACTGATGTTTAGACTGGACTAATTCTCCAAACTGGAGATTTCAGCTGTAACAGCCCTGCACACATTCAGTGCTTTGGTCATATGGAAGGGAAGGAGCCTGTGTGTGCAGCCTCCCCAGGCCCAGACACATGGAGGGGGGGCAACCTTCAGAATAGTTCCAAGCACCAGTTCTGGGCTGAGAGCCTGAGTGCCCAGGAGTGGTCAGAGAACATCAAGGGCACCCCCAGGGCACAGCTGGCAGGGACACAACCTGTATTTCTGCCAACTGGAGTATTCTGCCAGGTGAGCCAGAGGAGTGGAAGCACTGAACCCTCCCCTCAGGAGCTGCCCTCTCTGCCAGTCTCACTGCTGAGCTGCTGCCAGTTTTATCATCTTACCTTAAAGCCTGAAATCTGTTGGACCTGGAACTTCACCTGTTGAACTAAGGGTCTAACACACATGCCAAGGTTCACCCACATAGAACCTTTCCCTTGTACAGGAAGCATTTCAAAATCTCTCAAGTTAACACTATGATATATTCCAGATGCACAGTGTTACCAGGGAGATGGTAACAGCCACTCCTGTTTGGGGAGCTGAGGGTTAAAAGAACTTGTGCTGTAGCAGTTTTGCTTTTGTTACCTACGTACTAAAGGCAAGAGAGGATGCTATCCCTGGAACTTCTTTCCTAGAGTACACAGAACTCTAATGAAATTGTATTTATGATAAAATCACGATGAAAATTTTAGTAATGCTTGTTCATAGACCACATCTGGAGAGAGAAGGGGAGGGAGACAGAGAGAAAGAGCTCGCTGATAACTGAGACATAGCACTGAGTTGTAGAGAATAAGTGCATATGGTTTGTGCCTTAGTCACAGTTTGGTTCCCATGAGCTTTAGTGAACAACAACCTAACCTTGTCCATCCTTCTGTGATAAACAAAGTCTCGAGTTCCTATAAGTTTTTTGAATAATAGTTTATTATATGGAAAAATGCAAGCAGCTGGCTGGGTGACAGAAATGGGGACCAATTTCCCAAATCTGCACACACACTACAAGGTACATTTAGTATTTATCTTAGCTACTTCATGCATATTAATTATATCATACACATCTACATTCTACAGGTTTTTGCTAAGTATTTAATATATGGGTTTTCTTACAGCTAAAGCTAAAAGGGTTATCTCTACAACCAGTCATAATTCATGCATTCTTGGACAAACAGGCACCTAAAGATTTAAAGTTCTACTATATTTTATTCTTAGGATAGTCAGGAGGTTTTGGGCCTCTTGACCTTGTAAGGGTCTGTTTTATTTCTTTATGGGGGTGTAATTAAGTTTTACAATCCGTTTGTTTTATTTTGACGTAATCACCCATTTGCTTCACGAATCCCAATTATTTATTTATCCCCCTTCTCTCTCCCAGGAGCATCATTCAGAACCCCTCTTATTTCCGCAATCACCTCCGCCAAGCCGCCTGCTTTCGGTGCCTGCAGAGATACTCAGAGGCTGCCAGGTACTGGGGCTGCTGCAGGGCTCTGCCAGGTACTGGGGCTGCTGCAGGGCTCTGCCAGGTACTGGGGCTGCTGCAGGGCTCTGCCAGGTACTGGGGCTGCTGCAGGGCTCTGCCAGCCCAGCTCTCAGGAGCAAGGGCATCCTCTTTTACCAAACCACTGGGAGCTTGGCACTGGCTTTGGGTGTGGGTGATCTCAGGAGCAGCAGAGCTCCAGTCCTCCCAGCTGGTGTGACGTGAATAACCCCAGCTATGGTGCTGAATGGTCCTAAATGACACGACAGGCTGTTTGCTGGCAGAGAGTTAACCAAGCTAAAAGTGTGTTTCCTGATGCTCCTCTGAAAGTGGGACAAGGACTGAGAGTTCTGTGCAGCTTTTTGGTACAAACCTCACGTTACACTCTTTTAATATGACTTCAGTCTGGCCACAGACACCCTTCTCTGCCCGTGAGCTCATTTCTGCTGCTTTTGTTCTCAGAAGTGCCATGATTGCTGACTGTCTGTACATCCTGGCAGGGGGCACGGCCCTGGAGACAAGTGACCTCATCCAGCTCTACTGGCAGGTGACACCTGAGGGCCAAAGGAGAAACTGGGTGCCCATCTCGGCAGTGGGATCAACAGGGGGGATTCCTGCTAAAAAAAGACTGCCCACAAAGGGAGCTCCTGGGCACATCAGTGAGCAGGACACTGCACAGTCCTTCTGTGTGGCTTATTGGAGGCGTGGACTCAGTGGGGAGAGGAACTGAGGCGACTTTATTCGAAGGGCACAGTCTTTTATAACCTACACAAACATGGAAGGATTCCTTATGAGGTGTGAGAAATAGAAACCCAATCGGGCAATTTTCAATCAGAATTTGTTATATGATAAAAGCAAATTCAGCGCTGGGTGATCAGGGAAGGGGTTCAACAACTCCCAATGCCTGTCACACCCAAAGAAGACAGTTGTTCTACATTTATTTTCAGCTACTACATGAATATTCATTATCTATAAGTATAAACATTACACATTGTTAGGTACATGAGTATAAACATTATACATTGTTAGATACATAAGTATAAACATTACACATTGTTAGGTCATACATTCAACAGATATTTCTTAACAAGAATGTTATCTATGAGCACAAGCATCCATATTATATTGTTAGATCAGACATTCAGCAGATGTTTGCTTGTTATCTATACAAAGTTATAAATTTTAAGAAAGGTGCTATTATCTAGCTAACTAAACAAAATTCTCTCACTATAAATCCTACACAAGGTAAAAGGGAGGTAACTCGTCTTTTTTCTTTTCATAGGGGCCCAATTAAGTTTTACGATTTGTTTCTCTTTTCTCTCTCCAGGTCATATTGACCTTACACTGTTTTCTCTTAATTAGCCCGAATCATTCTCTCAGTTTATCACACGAGGCAAAAACTGGAACTGCAGCAGCTGCTTGGCTGCTGCCACAGGGGGACAGGGCAGGCTCTCGGGGTCACAGCTCACTCCTGTGATGAGTTGCTCTGTACTCTGCTCGGCCCGAAACCTGCTGCTAAGGTCTGGTTCTTCCCAGGCCTTCAGCCTGCACATTCCCCACACTTTTGGACTTATAATGGAGTAGATTTGTTTGGGCTTATTTTAAGGGATAAATTCAAGGTTGTTAACCCTTGGATCATGCTTCAATTTTATGGACTGCTACAAAATTTAATTTTGGATACTGTCACCTAAGCTATTTTTTTCTAAAGTCTTCCTGATGTGACCTTCAGAGAGCATGGAATCACTTTTCATCCAAAAGACAATTAATCTAGTAACTGTCCCCTCACTGAAGACAGAGGTTTGTGGAGTCTCTGTCCAACCCACCTGATTGTTTTGCTTGTTTTTTTTTTAACTAGCCATTGCCCAACATGAAAAGTATCATTTCTTTGCCTTTTTTAGGCTCTGATTCAAGAAGCCCTCAGTGGAGAAGTATCTTTTTCCGTTCTCTACACACCTTTTGAGAAAGAGGACGAGGCTGACAAAATAAAGGAGGCCAATAAAAGCTTTGCTGAAAAGCACCCTGATTATGTGCAGCACATATTCACAGGTAACAGCAGGTTTCACTGTGGACTGTGTGTGGGGCTGAGTCCAAAAGAGCCTGAGACAGTTTGAGAGTTTGTGCTTCTTGAGCTCCAGACACAACAGTGTTCCACTGTTGCAGGGAATTGGACACTGGTTTATCTCAGGCATCAGCAAAATTGAAGCTGTTGATGCAAAAGGCTTGTAAAAGTCCTAAAATTCAAATTTAGGAGAGCTGGATGGGTTGGTTTGGTCACCTGGTTCTGGCAAGGTTTCTGGAGAATATTTCTCCTTCTTAGAGTTCCTTATTTTTCCTCAGAAAAGTAACTTCTCTTACAACTGAAATGTGACAGTGGAAATGATTTTCCTTTCCCTATCACAGATCCTCATGGAATTCACCTGTTGCCAGAGAGAGCTGAGTCTCTGCCTGACCAAGAGTACTTACTGACTTTGGGCTTCAGAAACAAAGAGATTGGAAAAACTGTGGAAAAGTCTGTAATTCGAAAACTGCCCATCTGTCCAGGTGTGCCAACTTGCTTAGTAACTGAGCTGGCTCAGGGGTGATCCCCTTGCTAAATGAGGGGTGTGGGGTTGTCCCAGGAGCCATTTCTCTGTGCCAGCAGCCCTGACTGCTCAGAGAGCTCTCCCCATCCCCTTCATTCCTCCTCCAGTTTACCCAACACCCTGCCAGACCCTCTAGGAAAAAGGGAGGTGAATAAACACACCCTCTGTGGTTCTGTGATTTCACTTCCTAGACCAGAAAACAGCTTTCAGTCCCAGCACAGAGGAAGAAACAGAAACATTTTGGGAGAATACTGGGAAAAAGATCATGGCAGTCATAGATTTTATAGGAAGCACCAAAATAAAGGTGAGTGTTCCACTGTCTTTCGGGTGTGTGGGGTGTGTGGTGACAGAAGCCTCTGTGTGTGGGAAGGACACGTGGTTTTGGGGTGTATTTCCTGCTGCACATGCTCTGCCAGCGTCCAGAAAGGCTCCAGGAATTGCTTTAGGAACAGAGTTCCAGTGGGTTGAGACACTTTACAGTTTATTCCATGCAATTTTCTCCAATCTTTATGGCCTATAAAATTATATCCCTACTTCATGTAACCACCAAGACAGTTGCTCACTATATTTAATACCCAGAGCAGGCTGCACATACCAGCAGGATCTCCTTCAAGAGTGAATAATTGCTACTTGAGGCATTTCTAGGGATTGAGACTGTGATCCCTACGGAGTGAAGGATGTGAAACAGCTTTCACATCTGTTACAACCATCAGCAAAGTGATCATAATTACCTCTGCTCCATCCTTTGTGCCAGAATGGACACAGCTTTTTAGCACTGTGGCTGACAATGAGCACAGAGGTCAAAAATCAGTGTTGTACATGGATGAGACTCTTTTCATGCAATTATTAAATGCTCCTCCTGATAAAAGAAACATGAACTAGAGACTTAGGGAAACTGTGACTTCTCTCCTTCCAGAGAACAGCTGGTGAAACAACAGTAAGTGCCTGAACTCACCCACTCAGCAGAGGGAAAGGTGCTCAGTGCTTGGCCAAAGTGGGTGCTTGCAAAGCATCCCCACTGGTGTGAGGCAGGTGGAGCAGATGAAGGGCAGACACCCCCAAGAAAACACAGCTGCTTCTTTCCAGTGCTTTCCTGAAGCCTTTTGCTGTTGCCTTTGGGTGACCTGATGTGCAGGCTGATACAAGTGGCAGCTTTGGGGAAGTAGAGGGTCTGTTCCTGCTGTGGGCATCCACTTCAGTGCACTTGAAGAAGCTCTAGTTGTAGCTTCCAACCCACAAACAGAGGGTGGGTTGGATACTGGATACACAATGAAACCCTGATCTTTCTGAAAGCCCCAGGAAAACTGCAATTTTCTGACCCCACCACTCTGCCTTTGCTTTTGGAGGTGAGATCCCTCTATTGCAGCTCTTCAGTTTCTGAAGAGTAGCAAAAAGAGAAAAAATTTTGGAATCAGGCATCTTTTGGATTCCTCGTGCCTGCCCTGTTTTGTCAATTAATTTGTAGGAACGGGACCACACAGTTCAAGCAGAGAGATGTGGGATCTGGTTTCCAGGGCACAGGGACAAGAAACCCATCCTGTCAGAGATGAGAGCAGAGTGCTGGGCTAGGAGTGCTGAAGCCAGTCCCCACTCACTGTAGGAATTTACACTGCCCCTACACACCAGTGTTTTCTACCAGCTTTAGACCTCCCCTCAGACATTTCAATATTCTGGCTGAAACAGAAGGGTGGTCCCCAAAACAACGGGGTGAAACCCCACCACCACTAAAAGCAGCAGCAAACTGACCTGTTTTCCAAGCAGGTTGGCACAGCATCCCCATGGCTCAGGCAAGGGTCACCCCAGTGCCACCTCCAGGGCAGCAAGGATGGGGGAACGGGGCTGAGCCCTGGGCCTAAAGATTCATAACCAACCCTGGGGGTCAGTGCAGGAGCTTTACTGGGGAGGAAGAAAGCCCCAAGAGAGAAGAGATGGTCACTAAGTTGGAACAAACAGCTGCCAGTTCCACATCCACTATCAGGGGAAACATCCTCCCTTTCACTTCAGTTTTCAGAGCACTGAATGATCCCAGCAAGACCAAACCTCTGATCCTAAGATCAGGTGGCAATGCTGGTTTTACCTGGGAACAGAGATGGGCACAGAGCCAGAGCTGCTCTGCTGCTGGGGACCAACATCTCTGACAGAGATTGGACCACTTCTGCTCCCTTCAAAGTATTCCACAATTGTCTTCAAGCTAGAAATACGATTTCATCTTATTTGCATCACACAGAAGCTAAATTAAAACTTCTGCCAGACAAACTTCAGCTACAGAGTCGAGCCTTACAACTTACTGTAAGAGAATAAAATAATGTATTTAGGGTTTAATAGAACAAACAGTTCTTCCTGCCCTCTTCCTCATTTGCAGATGCAAATGTACAATCCAGTTTCTTGTTCTGATCAGACCGGTTTTGACAAAACCATCTCAGTGCCAAAGCCGAGCTCACTGAGCCATGGCAACACCTAAGAGAAATAAATTCTGCCCCTTGGTTTTGCAGCCACACAACCTGGAGTTAATGACATGATTTTTACACGCAGTGCTGTGGGTAAGATGTGAAAGTAAAGGTTTAACGTGCTTAAAATCGACCACGTTCCTGGCTGCGTGCGGGTCAGAGAATTCCTCTGCAGGTTTTAGTCCCTCCGGGGTCTGTGTTTGAAAACCATGGATTTGCCTGTCTGTACCCAGTGAGTTGACACCCTGCATGCCCTCCTCAGCCTGCTCCCCAAGACTGGAAAAGCCATCCAGGAATTCAGGTGATGTTTAACGTAGGGGACCATGGGAAAAGCCTTTAACAGAGGAGAAAACTGCACTCGCGTTTGTTACATTCGCTGTGACGACGTCTTTGTTTTCCCAGTACTACCACAGAGGTTGTGGCAAGAAAGTCTTGCCAGCACAACCACGATGAGAAGCCCGGAGGCACAGGACTCCAAGGATCAGGGTGCCCCCTGAGCTTCTCCTCTAACCTCTTGGCTGTCCCTGGGCAAACAGGACAAGCGCAGCCCGTGCGCCCGCGCCATCGAGCACTTCCACCGCGCCAGCCTGCTGGGCCGCCTGCAGAGAGGGGAGGAGCAGGCCCAGGTGATGGCCCAGGTGATGGCTGAGCTGGCCACCATTCCCTACCTGCAGAGAGTCTCTCAGGAGGATGACAAGCTGGTAGGTTTTGATTTCTGACACTCCCTTTGCAGGCTGGGAGCCAGGGAGGGAAGGGCCGGAGAAGAGTTCTGTGCTGCCACGTTCTCTCTCTGCAAGTAATTTGTCCAATGTGGGGACCTTTTAAATCCTCCTTCGGTGCTTTGTCAGAGGAGGTGCTGATCACCTGCAAGGGTGACTTTGATAGAACCACCAGGAGTCACTTGTCAGCATCTGTTTAAAACCCCTTTTCCCCCACCCCAGACCTCTCCAGATCAGTCTGGGGAAATGATTGCAATCATTCAGATCATGCTCCCTTGACATTTCTGACCTCAAAAGGCACCTGCAGCAAAACCAGCCCAAATCCAGTTATAACTAAGGAGGAGAGGGGGGAAAAGAGGGAAAATCGATTTTCTGTGCTGGGTCCATCCACAACATGCTCCCTGTCTTGGAATAAACCCGTCTGCCTGCTCGTGGTAAGTTCTTAGACTTGCTGCAGAGGTGCCATAAATTGGTGAAGGATCAGAGGCTGTTGAGAAACACGTGGAGTGGCCCCTTGGCTGAGCAAACCAGCAAGGGCCAGTGGTGGGATGATGGTTGGAGCAAACGAGGCCAAAAAATATGGTGTTAAAGTGGGGTTGGGGAAAAAAGAGTAGGGGAAACATCTCCTTTTTGCTCAGTGTGGGATGATGGATAGAGTTAAATCTAGAGGGGATTCAGAATTTTAAGGTAAAAAGCAGCTGGACAGACTGAGGTCAACATGTTACTGAGCTCCCCAGTAAAATGATAAATATCTGCTCAGAGAAACAGAACAGAGTGTGGAACGAGGTGGACACTACGTGGCCCCCCCTCCATTCCAGTCCCAGCAGAGGGGGAGGACACTGTGGCACTGAGATGCTACAGGACCTCTCTGACAAGGGGCAACCAAGATGTTCTGATGCTGAAGCCACAACCATGTGGAACCCCCTCCTCAGGGGCCAAACCACGACCACCACCCCCCTCCCATTAAATACACCATCAGAAATAAAAGGTATTTATGACTAGAGCCACTCAAACTCCACCCTAACATAAAAAAACCCAAACCAGTATAAAAGTTGGGAATAGGGGGAAAGGGGGAGAAGACCTCCACTGAAACTGCTGGGATCAGTCAACTGGCTGAGCCCAATTTCTCTCCCCTGAGGGGGTCGCCTTGGGTGAGAAATACACTCTGTGCATGTTAAATGCTGCTTTTACTACCAGAATTTTTGCTTGTGCTCACCCCATGGCAAATTGGTTAGATTGCTTCATACTAGAGCTTGTGCTTCCTCAATAGGTGCATCAGTAGATTGCTTTAAAACACATTTTTGCAGTAGACACTGTCACCAACAACCTTCCAACCTTATTAATCTGTCACAATTTGTTTTAATAAAAAGTGTTATTCTGCAAACTGTTAAAGTGAGTCCTTTCTGCCAGCAGTGGAAAAGACCTCGGCAGGACCCGCTGAGGGGTCCTGGCTCTGTTGAGTTCCCCCTAACAAGGGTGGTCGAGGTACCCTCTGAAATTTGGAATCTGTTGGTGAAGGGTCTCCTCTCGAGACACTGACAGGCTGTCGGACACCAAGGTCTCAACTTTCCTGGGGGACCGATGAGTAAAATTCCAAACTCTCACTTTTCGGGTGACACTTGGGCTCAGTTGGCAGCCAGTGCCTCTCCCCTGAAGGGAGGAGGAGCCTTTGGGTGAACTTTGTGCCTCCAATTTCATTGAAGTAGACCTGGGAATATTTATATGCACAGACACGGAGCTAATAGATCTTAATTACTTGTAATGAGTAACAAACTGGGGAAGAGGCACCAGAAAGTGTTGTTTGGGTTCACTTCAACCAACTCAACGTTTTGGAAGAGACCTACTAGTGTGCAACAATTACCACAGGTATCAAGTGCCAGTTTCCCCCAGTTTGTTCCTAAACAATGATGCTAAGGGCTGCTCCAGGCAGGACACCATGGATCCAACCCTTGTCTCTCTGTCACTGAATTAAGAGTCACTGGACCATTTCCCAGGGTCTGGGAAGTGAGACAATGCCAGGACTAACCCAGAAGGGGACTGGGGGGAGGCCATACTACAGCATTTTGGATCTGCTATAATGCAGGGCAGTGGCTGAAGCAGAGTTGCCCACGCTCGCTATGAAAGATGAGTCACAAAATCATCAGAGTGCAAATTATTTTTAGTGAGGTTTTACTCTGTATATTCAGATAAGTCATTTCTCCCTGAATTCCACCCTGATCATTTGTGTCTCGGTGCCACAGCTGCAGTCACTGACAGCAGATGCCATGGACGCCCTCGCAGGGAGAACCAGAGATCGTGTGTGGACTAAAATACAGAAGGTAAAAACCTGCAGCAAAGGGCAGGAGAGCAGATTGTTCCTTGGGAAGGAAATATCCCACTGAGTCCTGTCTGTTCAAAAGGCAGGGGAAAAAAAAAGGAGGTGTCATAGGAAACCTGACCACAGGCCTCGAATTCTGTCCCTGCTCAGGCGCCAACCACAGGGACATCTCTGGGATTTGCTGTGAGCAGGGAAGGGTCTGAAAGCCATCCCTGCTCTGCAAATACCACCACAGCTCATCAGCTGCCTCAGGAACAGTGCAGTGATGTCAGCAATTGTTATTTCCACTCCCAATATGCCATAAGAGTGCTCATTTTGGAGGCTGGAGCTGCTGACAGGTGTTCAGTAAATATGAAAAGCACAAACAACAGCCAAACCACGGCTCCAGGTGGGAACATCCTCACACTGGGGATTCCTGGTGACATCCCGAGCAGGGCAGACACTGCTGGATGTTCCTAAAAGAGCTGCTGTAAATCCTGCTGCTGTTCTGGTGTCCCCTACCCATCATCTGGGACTCGTTTTCCCCGCTCTTACAACCCTTTGTGCTCACCCAAAGCCAAGCACTACCTCCCCAAAATATAATGGGCACTTTCAACCACAGAGGAAAGTCATGCAGACATTTTAATTTGGTCTGTTGCAGAGGAGCCCTGGAGGCTGAGTGGCTCTGGTTGATGTGGCCAAGCCCTGGACTGGACCTCTCTGGCAGCCGTCTTTCCAAGACAAACACAGTGGAATTGGTCCCTTTGGGACTTCCTGTGTGCTCTTGGCCAGTCCATCATTTCCTGAGCTTTTATTTCAGCTTCTTAGAAATGAGGCTGGCACCAGGATCCCTCTAATCCTCTGCATGTTCCTGTGCTGAGCACATCCCTGCAGAGCCAACCTGAGGCTCCTCGGAGAGCCCCGACCTCCCGGTGCTCCTGCGGCAACGGATTTCTCGGCAGCAAAGGAGCAAAAGCCCAGGTGCAAGTGCCCATCAAGCTTCACCCCCACAGCAGAAAACTCTTTTCCATGGCATTATGCACAGTGCCATGTACACTCTGACCTCCTGAAAATGCCAGCTCTGTGGGCACGACCGGGAGGCAGAGCCCCTCTCCCAGACTCCTCGTGCCCTCGGCACCCCGGGGCAGCAGATGGAATTGTCCATAAACTCTCCTGCTTCCCTCTCTCACAAGCACACACTCCTCACCAGCACGATCCGTGCCCAGAGCGTGCAGCACAGCCCCAAGGGCAGGGCTGAAAAGCACTTTAGGACAGCTCAAGACATGGATAAACACAAGAGGAAGCCACGCTTGGACTAATCCCCAGCCAGCTCTTCTGTGCTGTGAAGGAAGAAGCTCCACTGAATGTCTGTCAGCAGGGTAGAGCAGCACTTTTTTTTTTTCTTTTTTTAATTATTTCACCTTAAAATTCACTTGGCAGATTGATTCTTTAGATGCTCCCATTGCCCAGGGTGTGGATCTTGGGTGTAACCCCGTGTGAAGGAGGGTGATTCCCACCTTCACCTGTCAGAAACGCTGTAACAGCTGACAAAGGCCTGGAATAAAGGTCAGCTATGGGGAGAGAGCCCGGAAATGATGAATGCCTGGGGCTGACAGAACACCTGTAAATGCTGCTGTGAGTCAATATTTGTGGGTGTTTGAAATCCCCCTGGCAACGCAAATGTGTCTGTCTCAACATACCCTTAATCAGAATAATTCCCTTTTACTCTGGGGAAAGACTGAGGTCGTTGCTTTTTTCACTCTGCCCTCCAGTGGATTATATTCCTGGGAAAACGTCTTGATTTGGAGCTTCATTTTGATTTACTAGGAAAAAAAACTTTTCCACCGCAACACGGGACACTCATTTTTCTCCGTGTGTCGATTTTTGGCACGTAAAAGGCAGAAGCTTCACCTCCCTTTCCTCGTCAAGAAAAACTCTCCAGACAATAATTTCCTCCTCACCCCTTCCTTGATGAGTGGCTGTTTTTCAGCACCTTTTGCAGACAGAGCCGTGAGAAATTCCTGCCTTGGTGTGCAGATTCCAGTGGAAGTGTCCAATCCACGGCAGCGAAGTAATTTGTGTTGCCGTGGGATTTATGGTGCTGAAAAAAATCTCCGGAGCAGTTAATTAGGGGTGAGATAAGAAAGGGTTTATTTGCCAAGGCTAAGATGTTACAAGAGGCTCCTCTGTGCCCGAGAGGTTACATTTTATAACCCCATCCATCCAATCCCAGATGTATCCACCCTGTGGCCTTTCCTCTGGATCGCCCCGGGGTCCACCCCCTTAAAATGGGTCTGGGGTGCATTTTGGGACCACCTACTTCATCACCTTCATCATCATCAGAGCACAAAGGGTACAGAGTTACCTAATTCCTGACCTATTCTGTGGGTTAGGCCCAGTTATGCTGTTCTGTCAACTGTCTGGGCCTTGCCTTGACAAAAGACTAAACATTCCTATTGGATTCAGGAGTAGGGCTGATCTGGGGAGCATGGAATGGGGGAAGAGGGTCAAGGAATGTGTAAACAAGGGTGCTGGAGGGAAAGGGAAAGGGACAAGGGACAAAGAAGGGAAGGGTTTCTGCTTTTCAAACCTACTTATAAAACTTACAAGTCTTACAAATACTAAAAAATAAAAAACCATTAGGGGCTTAAGGCATCAAGGCCAAGACATGAGTGTTCTCCAGACAGCACAGGACTAAACATTCCCACTGGATTCAGGGGTAGGATTGACTTGGGGGGCATGGGATGGGGTGAGAGGGTTGAGGAATGTGTGAACTACTTGTGCTGCAGGGTGAGGGAAGCTGTTGCTCCTGAAATCTACTTCTTATAAAACTCATAAAGCTTACAACATTAGAAAAATAAGGAACTAAAAGGGTCTTAAGGCACCACCCTACACTCCCTGGTGAAGGTGTGTCCGTGTCTCCCGTGTCTGTTACAGTGTTTTGGGATCTTTGGTGTATTAGGAGTGAACAAGGTTCTCCCTCCACCTCCTTGGGTCTCACTGTGATCTGATAATTTAGGATTCTCAGGTCCTTCCTTCTCCTTGACAGGGGGTCATCAAAGTCTGTCATAAACATGGGAATTAAGTGACTTTTGAGGTCCTGGATTTTTTCTTTTTTTTTCTTTTTTTTTTTTTTTAAACCCCCTTGAATCAGAAAATATAGGCCTTTTGTTGTTGCTCACAACACTTAATACAATTAAATTTAATACAGTTTAATAAAATTGAAATTTAACAAAACAGAATAAAATCCAAATTTCAGTTGATATAACTCACATTTAATACCACTGCTTACCACTTAATACAATTGAAATTTAAACAGATACAGCTTAATGCAGGCAAATATTATTATACAACAATATATATTATTATATAAATTAAAATTAAATACAATTTAAATTTAAATTAAAATTCATACAACTTAATGCAAGTAAATATTATTTAATACCATTTAATGTAAACTAATACAACTAGAATTTATACATTTAAATACAATTTTACACAATCTGAATATTTAATACAAATTAAAATTAATACAAATAAATACAATTTAATGCAATTTAATAAATACGATTTAATACAATTAATTAAAAATTTAAATTAATACAACTTTCAGTTGTTGCAAGTAATTACTATTTAATGCCATTTAAATTTAAATGAACACAAAGTTAATACAAATCAATACAATTTAATGGAATTTAAATTTAAATTCATACAACTTAAAGTTAATACAAATCAATACAATTTAATGTAATTTAGATTTCAGTTCATACAACTTAAAGTTAATGCAAGTAAATACTATTTATTGCCATTTAAATTTAAGCTAATAGAACTAGAATTTATACATTAAATCCAATTTAATACAATTTAAATATAAATGAATACAGCTTAAAATTAGTACAAATACAATTTAATGCAATTTAGATTTAAAGTAATACAACTTAAATGCAAGCAAATGCTATTTAATGCCATTTAAATTTAAAGTAATACAACCAGAGTTTATACTATTAAATATAATTTAATTCAATTTAAACGAATACAACGAAGTCAATACAATTTAAAATAAGATTATCTGTTAAATAGGTACCAATAGCTGCAAAACATGTACAAAATCAGCTATTTACAAAATCTGTGCACCTTTTTTTTTGACTCTGTGGCCAAGCTGCGTGGGTTGGGAATGAACACGTTTGTGTTTTCCAGCCTCAGATATTCCTGTCCCGTCGGGGTCCGGTTCCTGTTTTCCACCCCCCGGTTCCTTAAGAATTCCTCTTCTCCTTCCCTCAGCTCCTCTTCTATCCGTGCCACCTGCAGTGACAGACAGGTGGTGGGTTAGAACCTTAAAAGCTTTTCCATCAGTTCGTTTATTTCGAAACTCGTCGTCGTTAGGAACGAAACCACTCGAAGGCCCCTCTCGGGGGAGTCGTGCCCGACTTGGAAATGGTTTTTTTTCCCCCTCTGTTTCTGTTGGAACTCAAATGGTGCCTTAAGCCCCTAATGGTTTTTTATTTTTTAGTATTTGTAAGACTTGTAAGTTTTATAAGTAGGTTTGAAAAGCAGAAACCCTTCCCTTCTTTGTCCCTTGTCCCTTTCCCTTTCCCTCCAGCACCCTTGTTTACACATTCCTTGACCCTCTTCCCCCATTCCATGCTCCCCATATCAGCCCTACTCCTGAATCCAATAGGAATGTTTAGTCTTTTGTCAAGGCAAGGCCCAGACAGTTGACAGAACAGCATAACTGGGCCTAACCCACAGAATAGGTCAGGAATTAGGTAACTCTGTACCCTTTGTGCTCTGATGATGATGAAGGTGATGAAGTAGGTGGTCCCAAAATGCACCCCAGACCTATTTTAAGGGGGTGGACCCCGGGGCGGTCCAGAGAAAAGGCCACAGGGTGGATACATCTGGGATTGGATGGATGGGGTTATAAAATGTAACCTCTCAGGCACAGAGGAGCCTCTTGTAACATCTTAGCCTTGGCAAATTAACCCTTTCTTATCTCACCCCTAATTAACTGCTCCGGAGATTTTTTTCAGCACCATAAATCCCACAGTAACACCTGAACAACAGAACACAGGCAAGAACTGGGTGACCTGGTGCCCTTTGTGCTCTGAAGATGGTGATGAAGCAGGTGGTCCCAAAAGGTCCCCAGACCCAACTCCCAGGGGTTGGGCCGGGGGAGGACCAGAGCAAAGGCTACAGGGTGGAAACACTCAGGACTGGACAGATGGTTTTATAAAATGTAACATCTCAGGCACAGCCTGGGTGCTCCTGTAACATCTGTGCCTTGGCACAAATTAAACCCTTTCCTTATCTCACCCTCAATTAACTGCTCCTGAGGGTTTTTTTTCCTTATCATCAGCTGGACAGGCATCAAGGGACAACACAGAATTTTGGAATCAGGGGACAAGAACTGTTGCCTCTTTCCTAGCACCCGGAGTGGCAGCTGCAAAGGCTTTAGCCACATTAAATAAATCAGGATGTTGGTTAGCAAAACAGACAAATGCCATTAGCCAGGCCATTGCAGATTTATTGACTGATGTTCAGTCAGTGAGAATTCCTGCTTTGCAAAACAGAGCTGCTGGAGACTGTCTGCTTTTAGCACAGGGACAGGGGTGCAAAGGATCTGATGAAATGTGTGAATTCGAGTGACAAATCAAATCCCAAAAGCTTCCAACAGTCACAGGACCTGACGAAGGAGCTGACGGTGAAGGACGGATGGAACCCCTCTGAAGGGTGGGATTGGACTTTGGGATTGGGGCCAGGGGTGAAAAGGATTCTAATGTGTGGCTTGGTTTTAGTGTTGGGTCTGTTGGGGATGATTCTCTGTTTGCTTGGTGGGGGTTGTACGACACAAAAGGCCTTGGTGGTACAAGTCCATACAGCTCTGACTTTAAGTGCCTCAAAATAAAGAAGGGGGAGATGCAGGAACTGAGGTTCTCTGACCCTGGGGGACACTCGGCAGGGGAACTTGGTGAGATCCAAGCAGCCACAGTGAGATGTGAGAGAGGTGTGAGAGGTGTGAGACAATGAGAGGTGTGAGAGGTGTGAGAGGTGTGAGATGTGAGATGTGTGAGACAATGAGAGGTGTGAGAGGTGTGAGAGATGTGAGATGAGATGTGTGAGATGTGTGAGAGGTGTAAGAGGTGTGAGACAATGAGAGGTGTGAGAGGTGTGAGATGTGAGATGTGTGAGATGTGAGATATGTGAGAGGTGTGAGAGGTGTGAGAGGTGTGAGAGGTGTAAGAGGTGTGAGAGGTGTGAGAGGTGTGAGAGGTGTGAAATGTGAGATGTGTGAGATGTGTGAGATGTGTGAGAGGTGTGA